ATGCTGACTGCTGACTTCATTTCTTGTGCTGATCCAACAATATGTCACTGATGGGTTTTTCCAAACATGGTTTCCTGGGAAGGTTACTCATGGTAGAGGCTGTGAGTAGCCAAATTACATCAGTCTAGTAAGTTGCTTCTGTTGTGAAATAATCTTTTTTGACAATAACAATACATCTAATGAAGTTGCTAAGAAACAGAGAACCCTGCCCCAATTGTTTGAGTGAGGCAGGGAGGGGGAATTCATTCTCTAAATCTAAATGAAGTCTGAGGCAGTGCATTCATTGAAAATGTATTAGCCAAGCTGGAAGGATGTGAAAATATGATAAAACATTTTTTTAGTTTTCATTAAAAAAAAAATTAAAACCATTGTCATCTACTTCCTTACAGAAGGCTAGCCAGGGACCAATCCTGCACTGATCATTTGTAGACTGTGCTTATTTGCAGGCTGTATTCATAAAGTATCTCAATGCTGTTAAAATTAAGAATGCTCATTTAAGCTAACGTTATTTCATTATTATGAACATTTCTGTTACACCTATATAATTAAATTCTGTTCCATCCATAAAAATACATGTTTAATTCTTCCAAAGTCCAAAATTCCTAGTAATTCTACTGCTGTACATTTAATTTTCCAGAACAGCATTTATAAGATTGGCCTATTATTCAAAGACTTGATAATCTCGACATTATGGAATAACGAAGAGTATACTAAATATCTATCATTCACCCCGTCAGTGCATATTTTTCTCATAATTTCTTTGGTTTCACTTCGTCACTTTTTAAAAATCATTCTTAGTACCTGTCAGGCTCCCTGTCTCATCCTACTTTTTAACATTGAAAAAAAAAATGGAAATAAAATATAAATGAAATTTGGCATGTTGTAAAGTGAAGTATTACTCTTCAGCAATATCTTTATTTCTAAGTATGCCCTTAGGTTCATAAAAACTCTTAGCAAATAAAAATGGTGGGTGGTTGCAGGCCAGTTAATTGCAAATGTGCCCACCTGCCCAGAATGACCACAGTGGGAATTGATAGTAAGCTTCCTGGGATGGCAGGGTACCTAAAAAGTAGGGCTGTGCAAAATTCATCAGACTCGAGGAACAGAATGTTCTAAAGAATTATGGGATATTCCATTTCCTTTCAGGCCATGCCCAATCTCCTGAACTGTGCCTTTCTGGGGATGGTTCTATGGTTTGCAGTCATTCTGGAAACAATTCCTAGACTGATGACATTTGCACATCTCTCTTAGAAAGGATGGCAGGAAGCTACCTCACCAGTTCACTTTCTGGTAAATTGGTCATCTATGACCATCTATAGCCATTTGTGGGCAGGAAAGCTTCCTGCATAATAATTCACAGAATTCAGACCTCTAGTATGGTTTATTATGTGGCCTATTCACTCCCCACTTGTTCAGGAACTCTACATACCTTGCAATGGATTTTAGGCAGAGAAAAAGAGTATGCTAAGGACAGTTGTAATATACTTCAAGGCAGAAAAGTAAGGAAGAATGGAAAGCAGCATAGGCTGTAAGCACTGAGCAGTTTGGTCAATTTATCCTTTTGAATAATGGCTTTTGCTGATTTTCTCTCAAGGTTAAGTGGACCAAATGATGATACAAAATAGACTACACATGCATGTAGTGGATTTTCCTTTCCCTCTCTTTTTAAGAAAGAGGATCTTTGTTTTGTTTTGCTTTGCTTTATTGTGTTAAGCCTATTTTAAAGTTTATCCAATAGTTTTTGTGTTATTCCAAATTCAAAACAGCATGATACTGTTTTGTTGATTTTGGAAAATCCATGTTATTGTAATTCTGCGATGTGGTCTGAGAGCTCTGAGGATTATAAAAAAGGAGTTTGGGTTCCTCATCCCTACTTTAGACAGCAAAACCACTCCACATGCTCTCAACCATGCTTTACATGGTTATTGCCCAGAGTTGCTGGGAGTCGGGTGGCATATGAATTTAGATGATGATGATGATGATGATGATGATGATGATGATGATGTCACTTCTGCACCACTTTGATGTTCCTAATATGGCCACATGGAGATGCTGGGAGCTCTCCATGCCTATGTTAGAACAAATAAACAGACAAAAGACCCAGTTTCCGATCTTGATTTGGGAAAAAACGTCCTTGGAACACCACCAGTTTTTCATTTAATGCTTATTAACATTTTAATACTATCCTTCAAATTAAATCGAATAACGTCAGATCAATTTATTATAGCCCAAGTCCAGCAAAAGCACTAATCTTAGCACAGGGACAAAGCAGATTTTATTTCTGCTGCCTCAGCACTAAATACAATTGGCCAGCAATCCCATGATTCCTGAAGAGTATTGTAGAGCCAGCTGGGGAATTCTGGGAGTTGAACTCCACCCGTCTTCAAGTGGCCAAGGTTGAGGGACACTGTTATAGAGGCTATAGGAGCTGGAGGATTTCACTTCAGCTCCCAGCTATTGTGGCACCTCCGTAATTCTTACCCCCCTGGCTCTAGTGTCAGGAGAGGCATAAAGGAGGCAAGAAGGTGGGGCAGGGGATGGGAATCCAGGACCTTCCTGCTTCTAGGGAATGCCACCTCATCTGTTAATCCAGGGATCCCAAATCTTTTGGGTTTGATGGGACTTTTGAAAATTTAGGACAAGTTGAAAGTACACTCTCAAAATAGGTGCCTGGGACATTGCAAACAAAAAAGGTATTTAGCAAGTAGGACTTAAGCTGTTGCAAACACTGATTTATCGACAGCACCAAGGCCCTCTATCCTGTCTTCCACAGGAGGTCCCCACAGCTTCTGCTCCCCTTCGTCTTTTTTTCTAGGCAGGTAGCCACACATCCAAACAAAATAATGAGCTGAAGCCAGCCATCTTTTTAAATGTTATTTTTAAATAAAGTTTATAAGACTGATTTGAGGCCCAGAAGTGTTCTTGGCAGTGCAGATTCTCTGGAGGCTGTGCCATTGCTTTTCAGCATCTCAGACAGCTTTTCCTCTCCTTTTTTTAAATTAAAAAGGTTTTTTTAAATGCAAAAGCCAGCAGGCTTGAGGGATACCAAGGAACAAATTGGTGTCTCCAGGGATCACACTGGAGGTCCCACTGCTAACCTATTCCAGGTCTGAAGTAGGTACTGAATTTCTCTTTAGTTTCAGTAAGGTCACTCCTCCCTCATTTCAGTCCTCCTGGCAGGAACTCACCAAGGTTTGAGGAATCCAAGGAGAGAAATCTCCATGCTTTAGTTTTCCAACATAGTAGTCATTATGCCAAGTTTTCTTTTTTAACCTTCACTGCAACTTTTATTTTGGATTAACAGAACGAGCAGCAGGAGTATATCACAGAGAAGGACGGTCTGGAAAATACCAACTAACCTATGATGAGGCAAAATCAGTGTGTGAATATGAAGGAGGACACTTAGCAACATACCAGCAATTGGAGACTGCAAGAAAAATAGGTATGAGGACATATTAGATGTCACTAGAGAGTGCAATCCATCAAGACAAAGCACTGCACAGGATAATGAGGCTTGAACATATTTGTCATTCCATATCTGGACTGCATAAATATGGGCAATCCCTAGATGGCAGCACCGAAAACTCCAACCCTTTGTTGCCATCTAGTGGTCATCAAACTTTTCACTGTCTGTCCATCTTGGGCTTTTGATTTTGCTTTGTTAAAGAGCATATTAGTGAAATTGTTTCAGAAAATAAGATATAAGCAGCACCGAGGATGAAATTCTAAGAATTCTGTGTACTAGGATACAAATCCATTTGGTCTTATAATAAAGGTGATCATGCGGATGCCAGACAGATGCATTTTAAATATCCATATAAGCAGTATAACCTAGTTAATTCTGTGGAACTTACTCCCAAATAAAGTGCATTCAAACTCATGGTGAAAACCAGTGACCAACATTAACAATATGTGACTTGGGCTTTCTAGGTTATCAGGTAAAATGTGTGCAACCTCATTTGTTGAACAGAAAATGGCGCAATTAGATGATCAAACAAACAACCAAAATGATAAAATGCCAAACAATTTGTTAAATAGGTATGGAGTCTGTTAAGTAGATTTGACTCTTTTACTAACCCTCTTTTCAAGAAAGTTCTCAATCTAAGAGATAACACAATTTTCCAAATTTGAGGACACACTTGGGATTTGTCAACATAGCTGTTTTAGGCAGAAAATACTAATCTTTGGGGAACTGATCTCTTACATGCAAATAAGAGATTTTTTCTTCTACCACCATTTCTTGTTTAGCATAATTAGTGATGTTAACATGGAAAATGAGGTTCTTAAAGATACAATTTCAAAATTCAGAGTAGGGCAAGTCAAAGATATTTCAGCAGCAGTAGAAAAATCTAAGCAAAAGCTTATATTTCTCCAAAATTAAATTACAAAATGAATGACCTATATATCTGTGTAAACTATTAGAAAATATTCTTGCTTATAAGGAATAGACATATCCAATCTGAAACACATTGTGTGCATTCTACTGTGGATGGTGTTGTATCAAATAGTTTTATATTCTGGGTAGAACAGAAATCAACTCACCAAGACTCCAGTAATACAATGTTTTATATTAGTCAGGCATCTCTGAATAAAAATGCTGAGGACTGCAATTTACTTAGCCTGTGCTTCCCATAAATTTTAATAGCGTAAAGTGAAAACAGTCCTTTTTGTGGTAAAAAGCAAAAGATGGCACAATTAAAAAATATGAACCAGGCCTATATAATTCTCTGTGCCTGGGGTGGAAACTGTTTTGCTAGCAAGCCCTAATTCAATTTTAAATAATTGGGAATCTATTGTACATTGGCAATGAGAACAAGAAGTGGTGAATCTGAAGTTCAGCATTCCGTCTTAGCCAACTCTTGTCTTGTATGACACTCGCCTTTCATTCCCTCAGGGTTCCATATGTGTGCTGCTGGCTGGTTAGCTAAGGGAAGAGTTGGATATCCTATTGTCAAACCAGGAAGCAACTGCGGCTTTGGAAAGACAGGGATTGTTGATTATGGTTTTCGGCTCAACAAAAGTGAAAAGTGGGATGCCTACTGCTATAATCCTAATGGTATGTGAGCATTAAATATATTTCTTACAGCTATTATTGTTTAGTTCTAAGGCTATATCTTTGCAAAACTACCTGCCTTTGAAAGCACCCAGGACTGCTGGGGCTTCTTATAGAATAATAAACCCATAATATTAGCAAAAACATTTATGGGCTAAAACCCATTTCACCAGATGCATTAAAATATCTTGAGTTAGGATTCTATAACTTTTCATGGTTGAGAAAAAAGCGTAAAATGATGTTGGCCATTTTAAATGATGATATTACAAGAAAAGAAATGTGGAAGATGTAGCCAGTGATAATAATTTTATTAGCAATGACTACTCACAAGATGGGCAGTAATGCAGAAATCCTTTTATTGGAAGGCTAATTAACATATCATGGAATCCTAGAGTTGGAAGGGACTTTAGAAATTATCTGGTACATCCCCCTGCTCAACACAGGATCCACTAGATCACTGGCTGGGGGATTCTGGGAGTTGAAGTCCAGACATCTTAAAGTTGCCACGGTTGAGAAACACTGCACTAGAGCATCTCTAAGAGACATCCTGCCTGTTTGAAGAACTCTAGCAAAGAAATCATCACTTTATGTGGCAGCCTGTTTCATATGAAGTATGGAGCATGAGAAAAAGAACTTATCCTATTCCAACTAAAGAAGATTGAGCAGAACCTCTTGCTGAACAGTAGGTAGTACAGAATGGCCATGTTAAGACTTCTGATGAAGGGCCCTAGAAGACTGAATGTTCTTCCACAATAACAGGGAAATATATAATGTCATAGTGCATTACATGGTAAGAGATTCAACACACTACAGGAGAGATGGAAAAGACAACAACTAGGGGATCGATGTCATTCTGAGCAGCAGCCCCATACTGTGCCTAATTACACTGTACTTATATTCTGTGACACGATGACTTTCCAAAAACCACTCAGCTGAAACATGAGGAAAGCAGGATTTAAAGTTCATAAACAAATTGGAGTCCTTATTCCAATAGAACCTGCATCTTCAACCAACTGTTTTTGTCCCTCTCCTAAGTTCAGGGCAGACTTCACTTACAGTGATAAATATAAGTTCAAATCTTCATGAACATTCCTTTGTTTGCTTGCCAGAATCTTTCTGGAGACGGAACTGGAGGGAAAACAGCTTCAAGTGAAGAGAGGGTTAGTCCCCAGGATAGGGTCCAGCATCCAATCATGTCAAAGGACATAACATCGCTTCTGCCAAGTCCCTACTTTCTGCTGGCAGCAGAGCCAGTTCTTAAGCCATTGATGTGCCCCAGCGGTTGCTGTTTAGGAAAGCCCTGCGCATTCCATCTGGCTACTCTACCAAGTGGGCCTGAGGGCCTCTCTGCTTGTCATGTTAATTGCTTGTGACATTCAGCCCTGGCTTGAGTTGCCAGAAGTTAGAGGTTACTCTAGGATACTTGTGGAGATGTAATTCATAAGGAAGAAATGCTCAGGGGAAGGATTTTATCATTTCGCTTAATGTGTCTTAAAACTACTACGTTCAAAAGGGAATTCACAAGTCACAGCAAGGCATGCTTTAGTGGATTATCCATGGTTTATTAAACAAGACTTAATAGCCCACTTCACACATAGCATTACGCCATGAACCACTGCTGAGTCCATATATTAAAGATAAAACTAAAGAAACAACTCATATTATGGTTCAGAGTAATATGTAAACCTATCAAGGGAAGAAACTGTTGAAAGTGGAATTTAAGTATTCCCAAACTGGATTATATGGAGAATATGCTTCTATTCCCGTAGCAAACACCTTTATATATTTTTTTGTGATTTCATTGTTACTTGTCCATAAAGATGTGCAATACTTTGAATCCAATTCTGAAAGTTATTTCAGAAAATAACTTTTTAAGAGACAGGTGCCATGTTGTATACTCCAAAGCACAGAAACAAATGTGAAGTACCTCAGCCCTGTTTTATTAATGTACAAATTCACTTCTTTTTGATAAACAATTCTGTTTTGAATGTTTTTTTAATGGAAGTAGAATATTCCATAATATGTTATATTCTGTAATAGTCCAATATTAGAAACTGCACTATTTTCTAAGGTATGATTGGTTTTTTTTCTGTTCTCCCTTCTCCTTCTTTCTTTCTTGTAAATGCAATGTTTTATATTTCTGAATGTTGTGCACAACAATACTGGACCTTCTACTCTTTGAAAAGTGCTGCAGAGAACCATACTCCATAGTCCACAATGGGAATTCAAACTGAAAAGTTATGTAGATTTGCCCACGTAAGCCACTGAATAACCTTTCAGGGCAGAAAACTCTCACAGATGTCAGGAAAATGGGAGAGGCCACATGTTATTCATAAAATTAAATGTAGTCAATCTTTCTTCCCTTCCAATTTGGCCATATTCTCTGAGAGGCAAGTCTCATTTTTTCCAAATGTATTGTTTGGGTGGTGAAAAGTTTAATTAAACCAAGTTGTTTACACAGGTTGGTGAGTCATGTTCTTTCCGTTCTAGAAAAAATAGATCTCCACTACTAGTGGATGATATTGTTCAACTGAAAAGAAGACTGCAGGTAATCTTGAGAGGTTCATCATCTTGTCACTTTTCATTGTTCAATATTCCAGTCAGAAAGAACTGACTAGTGAGGTGAACTTGACGCCAAAGAATTAGTCCATTTTCTAGTAAAAATAGTTCCTATATGCTTGCTTTTTATTCCTGTTTCCTGGATGGCATGGAGAATCAAAATATCTTAATCATCTGGGAACATAACTTGGTTGTGAGCCCCAGAGTTGATACAAAATGGGCAGTTATAAATATTTTAAATAAATTAAATAAATAAGCCTTCTTAGATTCAGCAGAAAGGCATTGCATTGGCGTGCTGCTGCTTGGAAATATCTGGAATAGATATTGGCTGTGGAGTTGCCAAATGCACATAGAGCACACAGGTTTTTTACCTCTATTATTCAGCTACTCATCTGAGGAAGGCCATGGAATTCCTAGATAGGTGCTTGGAGATGATTTGGGGATGAATTAGGGCAAATGACTGGAAGTTTATTCCAGACCAGACAGCAGTGCTAAAGGGAGAGAAATGACCTGGATAGAATTTATTTATTTATTTATTAAATTTGTATGCCGCAATCTCCCCCAGAGGGTGACTCTGGGCTGCTCACAGTTAGAGTAAAACCAGAAAACAATTAAAAAAATAAATACCCACATTAATTAATT